ACCACAGTTGAACTAAGTTCAATCTTAAGAGCTTGCCACTTACTGCAATCCATACGACTCTGGAAAAAGTATAAGAGCCATGCTAGAACAGTTGTGGATCAGAAGAATGTTGTCGCTGAGCAAGGTATAAAAAGGGAAGTCAAGTACGAAATTGCTCCTGGCTATAAGTGAGGTCCATATTTCTGTACAGTGTGTCAAGGACACGACGATTCAATCGTAAAAGACGGAGAAGGGTGAGCAGAGGATGAAGGCCGTTGCTTACGTAGAGCGTGCCATTAGCTTAATTATTGAGGAACATAAAATGGTTGAAGGACATACGAAAGTTGAAATCGAAATGGCTTCGAAAAACACAGCGTCAACATAACGTTCGAAAAACAAATAATTCACCTGAGACTCTTTGGAAGTTTGCCTATCTCGCCGCGAAGGGCGGCACTGTTCACAACGCAAATCATCGACAGCGACTTCAGGGTAGGATCTGAAAGAAAACACGACCTACATCTGAGCTGAAATACATATGACAATCAGATTAATCAGCACCGAGTCTTACTCATGTCTAGAACGTAGAGATCCGAGTGATCAACGAGGTTCCTTTCTGGCCAAAGTGGATCGTCCGTGTTACACCTGACATCATTTCGTATAGGGCTAAAAACTACGCCATAAAAAACCAACTACCAATTAATCGTCGAACCTGGTTCCACCAAACAGGTACAGTTTATCACGGATCATGATGCAACACTGCCGCCGTCTAGGACGTGGACCTCGACCGTGTACATTCAACAATGACCAGGTAGCTTTAGCTAAAACAGCAAAATGGACGACGGTCACATTGACAGATCGATGAAACAAAATTATAAATACAGCGTAAGCTATTTATTTCTACACAACCAAAAATGAAAGCATTTAAATCTGTCGATTCAAAAGATTAGCACATTCTTCACGAAAACCAAAAATCCACGCGAGAGACAGTGATGTAATGCGGATGGCAAAAGATCGGTCGATTTGCGCTACTGATTCTGTAGGCCGCAATTAAAGCATTTGCCAAAGTAGTCAGGAAGATTCCACAACGCGCCACTGGCCGAGAGAACCACTGGTATTAATAATTCACCACTTTCAAAAGTAACGGGTAGTGCAATCGTGTCAGAGGCAGAAACATGTACACTGACTATTCTTAGCGATGGTGGCAGCGTTACAAATGGATTTAAAGTGGCTTATCCTACGACTTATGTCATTAACGAATTTAGCTGGTCAATTATTTTTAAGGTTAATCTGATATACATTTTTTCATGATGAAGAAATTCATTACTACGGAGTTTCAAGACTCTGTCTAATAAAGCTGTAACTACAGAACGTTTACTGTTTAAATGACTATGGGAAAATGGGTTACTCATGGGCGATTCTTTGGGTTTTTTAAAAACTACCATCGAAGGAAAAATAATTCGCCTCTTCCATAAAAAGTAATTTTCTTTACGATGAGTTAATTTGGAGAGTAGATTGATTACGCGAGTCATCTCCTTGCAAAAATTTACCAATTATTTTAATAGTAACGTAAATAGGAATGTTAGTAAATAAGTCTTTAACGTCGTAAATGATCATAATGCTACGTCTTCGAAACTGTTTCAGTTCTTTGCAAAATTCTCTGAAGTTCTGGTGTAAGATAGGCTAGTTCCGGGTCAGAGTATTTTAATGGTCAATTTCGAAACCTCGGCAAAAAAAACAATTAGGTAAAAGCATTAGGTCTGAAGGGGACATAACGTTTATGTATTTTAGGTAAGCAGTAAAAGTATGGTGCCACGTGGTTACAGCTGAACTTAAGGGGGGTTTCTACGAGGATGAAGAACTTTGGATCTGGGTGATTATGTTGAACGATATTCTGTAAAAGAGTTCAAAGACTGTGAACAAGTAAGGATGTGTAGTTGGTATACAGATAGATGCATGCGGTGCTGAGCAACTCAACGTTTGCTGGTAAAATCTGACTTATCCATTACCAGCTTGACGTTGCCTTCATCTGCCTTTCTAATTAAAACGTTATTGTTTAACTTTTAGAGGTTAAATGGCTTTAAATTCTGCCCCGGACAAGTTAGGTCTAAGTGACCAATTTTGAGTTATTATAGGTTTAATATTTTCTATTAAGAACTAAGTCGTTGAATTCGCCGGTGCTTTTTGCGTTGTGTATAACTTACAGGTGTTTTACGCTTTTTTTCAGAATCAGTACCAACTCTATCTTCGGATAAATATTATCATGCCATGAGGTTAATGAATAGGTGAAACCGAGATGATCGCAGAAACGTGGGATCAGAGTATAAAAACACATTAACTTCGTTTTCACTATCCAGAAAGATAATAAAGAGACCTAATCGAAAAAGAAAGCAACCTCTAATGCCGGTAACTGTTAGTTTTGAAACAACAACGTAACTGTGACAAAGGATATGCATTCTGCATGAATTAGATCAGTTTTGTCGCCGAGAAACTGCTTAATCGGAACCACAGAAAAAAGCTCGATTTTTGGCTCTATACATAACCGTGGCGAAGGAGAAAAGGACTTATGAAGTCAATCAACCTCTTCATCTTGAAGAAGGCCTGTGAGACACGGGCAAAAACTTCGGTATGGGTCAATTATCTGATTGCGTTGTGTATAAATCATGTAAACTGCGTTGTATTCTTGTAACAAATACAAGAACCAGATATACAACCTCAGAAATTTCTATTTCAAAAAATGGTGATCCGCGCACAACAGGAAAAGGTTCTGAGAAATTCAAAATAAAATATAAGAAAAAGTCATGGACATAAAGTGACAAGACTTGTTTATTCTAAAGTTAATCTTAGATTAGTCTACCTATTGCTTCTACCGTATAATATTCATTACCAAAACGTTTCATATATGCCCTTAAACTTGACGGTATAGGCATAGGCAGGGAGGGCTAGCTTCTAATTTGTATAGTGGATTTTCGCCTAGGCTCAATTGCACTTCGGTTATATAATTGATCTAACGGCATTCAGAGTAACTTTCGGTTACCTTATGTACGCTATTTTTAAGTCTGTGTTGAAGGCTAATTAAACGTACATTGTAAATATTGTTTCTTAAAAAATAATTTTACATTTACCCTAAAATGACTGACATAAGTACTGCACATAAATCCCTCATCATCACTGAAACATATCTTTGTTACGTATGAGGGAAAGAAATCTGGACTAACAGGTCAACTGGCTCCAAAATGCGGGGCTCATAATCCTCTGTCGCTTTTCACAATACTGAAAACTTGTGCAAAACTGCATTATTAATTTAAGCTTTTCTCAGCTCCCTGAATTATGAATCAACAAGGGGTATCTTCACTAAAAATAAAGATTCACATAGTAAGTCTGGCTTTTTCTTCGTACCATCCGCTGAGGGCCTTATGAAAACGAAAAATCATTTTATGCGTACCTTCGTTAAAGCGATAGACATCGTTGAAATGCTTGTCATCTCTGCCGTTGTAGCCGCCAAAGACGTACATGTCTCCGTTGTATTCCCCTAAATAGACGAGTTTGCAAAAAAACGAAAATAAGCAAATGAGCGGCATACAAGCTGAATGACTGCGACGACCGCAAGGGTTACTGCCTCTGGACTTCACGGAGTACCACGTGTGATCA